AATAACAAGTGAGGTGCCTGAATATAATGAAACGAATTGCAACTACTAAAAGGGTTTTTGTATCTCCTACCTGATCAATTGCACAAGGAATGAGACATGGAATGTCCGTCTTTTTACCGAAAATGTGAGGAAACGAGGATGCAAAGCATGGTGCTGCCTCAATGGCAGGGAATGCCGCCTGAAGTTATTATAAATCGGTAGTTTGAGAATCTGCAGTGAAACCGGATTGGGCAAATGGACAAAAAAGAGAAATAGAAAAAAGATGCAGATTGAGAAATTACGCAGAAGCATCTGATCCACTCTAACACCCTCAGAACTCACCTTCCCCATACTATCCTCAGGTGTGAATCCGAAAATGGCTCGCGCTTGATTTCCTGTCACCACCTTCCAGATCTTGCAGATGTTCTCATAGAAAGGTGGGCTGCAATTAAAGATTACTGTAACAAACCCCATGATATTCCCACAACAAAGATGCAAAAAGATCCCAACGAAAAAGAAAAAATAATGACAGGGGAACAGTGAGTCTTACCACATATAGTCGAAATCGTTGAACATGAACGTTTTCTCGGGATCGAAACCAACGGCGATGATGTCCTTCATATTCTCTCTAGCCATTTTCTTTGACTCATCTACCTTCATGTCTTTCCATAGGAACTTCTCATCATCCGTAATCTGAAGTGGTAGCATTTCACCCAAACACGTTATTTTCACAAGCCAACTACAGTCTTGTGCGCAGCGAATGGGAGCGTGTCAGGCGGATCGGATATGGCGACGCGCCAAATCTATCCGCCCAATAAGCCCGTTCATCCGCAACGAACAAGACTGAAGATAGAGTTCAGATCTACACTGCGATTTCCTCACTAAAGTTAGAGAACGCGGAAATCAAGTACTTCTGTAGAACTGCATCACAAGGCACTGACCTGGATGATGAGAGGAACATCGAACACATCCTGTAGCCACTTTGAAAACATGAACGGAATAAGGTGGCCAAGGTGCAGACTTCCAGATGATGGACCACGACCAGTGTACAGGAAAAACGGTTTTCCTTGTTCTTTGCGGTCCAGAATCGCAGCAAAATCCCTGAATGATAGCTCTATAACATGATCGAAAGAGCTGCGCTTCATCAGCCCCACAGGTTCCGCCAGGTAGCCAGCTGAGTGTCACCTCACCTGTGAGCAAAGAACATTCCACGTCGCAGCATTGGATGCGGTTCTTGACCAGTAACCTTTCTAAACCGTTCCACCAGATCTTCGCCAAGCTTGCGACAGCCGAACTTGACTGAAAAGCATCCATATTACAGGCAATTAAATCTATTACACCAATTAATTCTTGAAACACGGAAACTGTGTTCAAATCTATCGAAAAATAGAAAGGGAAAGACCAGTCAAGAACCTTACCAATCAACTTGTCGTAGTCCACTCCTGTTATGCTGGATGCCGCAACATCCCATGGTGTAACTAGATCTTCCTTCTCCTCTTCCTTCTGGAAAATTATAAAAAATCATGAATGAATCCAAAATGAGCAATACAAGTAACTGTAAGTAACTCGAAAGAGACGTACCTGATCACCATTGACCTGCATTGATTCCAGCTTCTCTTTCATTTCTGGATCAGCAGACATGACGACGACCCTATCCAGAAAACCAAAAAAGACTTATGAACAGAAAGAAAGAACATACATCGCTATGACAATGAAGCTCTATTTTCAAAAGTATAGCGTTCAAAACGTATGAAGAAAAACATCGTGAACATTGAATAATCAAATGTTCATTAAAATAATGAAAAACGTCTTGATTCAGAGTTCTCGATATCCTCGGCGAAGTCATAGGTCTCGACTGCTTTGTTTTTCATAGACCCGAGGTGGCGCCAAAATGAGCGTCGGTGTCCCTGTTAAGATACGAAATTGAATGTAAATTCCGCTCCAACATTTCATAGTCGGTAGAGCATGTCTCACGTCATATAATCGAGGAAAAAAAAACTGAATTTGAACAGATGCAAAAGCAACAGGTCCGGGAGAAAATTCACTGGAGTGAAAGCAGTATTCATCCCTAACTGCCCACCCTTCGACATTTTTGACAGAATTCTGATCGAAAAGCTCATGGGGAAGATATTGCCGAGCGTTTGTCTTCACGAGGGGTAATTTGCCTTCTTGAATACTAATAGCTTATTCCTTGAAAATGAGGTGCCTGGCCTGGCTTCCAGGCCACGCGTCGAAACCAGCGTCACAGTTAGTTTTAGTACCCGCGCTTATACTGCCCATACCAAGCACTTCCACGTGGAACTCATATTCGTGTTTAGGAGGACCAAAATAGTACTGAAGACAAGTTTCTCACAAATGTGGTGTTTCAATGTGTTTTACTGCCGGCTCGCCCGGCCAAAGCGTCAGGTCTTTTAGAGCTGATCTGACGCAATATTCGTGTTCAGCTATGAAATCGCAATCGAATCTGCCCACGGAAAAACCTTCGCTGAGAATCCGAACAAACTTGTGAAGAGTACGGCCCGTAAGGGTGAAAAAGCCGGAGTAAGCACTGAGAGCCTCCAAACTCAGCGAACCCTCCAAGCTTTTCCACTTCACCGTAAATTGAGTGACCTGTACGTGACAGGTCCAACCGAAGTCGAGGCTTGACAACCTCCATTCAACTGATCACTGAGCAACATACTAACCTTAAAATTTCAGAATTTAGCATTTAATCCTACAACTAACACGTGCTTAGTGTCATCGAACTGCCAGCGACGCATAAGTATAAAAATGAACTGCAGTCATATTAGATGAAAGAATTTCAAAACCCCAGACCACTCAGTGGTTTCCTAGCGGCAAGATGTTCCCTAACAAGGTGTTTCTATAGCCCCTCAACATCGCGCCTTGCCAGGCAACATTACGGAGGTCGTAAACTGATTGATAAGGAATCCAGAACACTTTAACGCCTATCTACACCCGACAGGGAACTACCGTGTGAGTACATTAGGAACTAGGCCTATGCAACCCTGCTTGAGAGCCATTAGCATCGCAGGAAGTAACAAATTTCAATTAAAGTCCCTCAATGGAGCTATGTTAGTGCAGTTGTAGCATATCATTTCTCTAGAATTCGAACTCTATCTAAATTCAGACGAGACAAACTAATATTTCAGTAGTTACTTTTTCAGCTCCACATTACTGAACTGGGTGGGAGACCCTGGCGAAGTACGGGCTAAGCACCGCCGCAGAATAACTGGAAAGTTCGCTAGAGCATATTGGAGCGTCGATCTCCAAAAAATTCATTCTACACGATGACTTCCATTCGCGTAATTCGCGATTCCGATTCAAAGTCAGGTGCGTAGCGTACTTATGTGCAGTTGATCACAGCCCAACTCCCCTTCATCGGTTTTAGAGTTGTTAGTTGTTCTAATTATTTTGACCGACGGCGGGGCAATTTTACTGCTTTTTATGGTCAATGGGAGGTCTCTTCCAAACACCCTCACCCGAAGGGACTAGAAAGTCGTATCAAGAAAAACATTGCCAAGTTGTTCCTCCATAATGGTGATAAAGATGACTTTGGAACCCTACAGCAATCAAATCTCGGTCGCATTCGGAGACAGCGCGACATCAAAGGAGACCGACTAATTACCTTTAGCTCTATTACTCGACCACAAGTTCACACCTCAAGTAGTAGTGAGGGTGAAATAAAATGAAATTTGGATTAAATATTCCAGCAGTATTACTGGTGGAATCCCAAAACAATTGTCTAATGTTTACAGACTCTGCTCAGGGAAATTAATCGTTGAATCGATGGAAATACCAGTTATCAGCAAACGTTTAGTCTAACAACTTGATCCAGGTATTGCATAATTTCAGAATTGGACTGTATCAAACCTACAATAGTCTGAAGCAACCAACCAAAAAAAATTAAGGATAATCAGTGGTTTAAATGCCTCTTCAAGATCTCTTACGCTGTCTCTTCTCCCTCTCCCCTCCCCCCTTCCCCCATGATATTAATATTTTATTCCAGGTAGAGTGTGTCAAATAGCATTGCATCATATTTAGCAAACCAGGAAAAAACAGCGAAGTTCGCATCTACTGTAGAGTTAATCTGGCAAAACAGGAAGTTCCATCAACAGTAGATTATCTTAAAAAGATATTCTACAGTTCTCTACCGTCCTTAACAAGGACCTAATTCACCTACAACTACAGGTTGCTGGTATCTACCACGAATACCCCAACCACTTCGCAGTAGCCATAAAACCATTCTCACACCTGCATCTCACCTAGACTAGAGCAGGTCATCGCGATAAGCTAATGACAGCCGAGTCTGTGATATGAGTGAATGACTCCACTGGACGTCTTCAGTTAAAAAAATTAGTATAGAAGGAAAACTTTATTGAAATAAAATTCGTCCGTTATCAAAAAATACTTACTGTGCTGTTTAAGTGACCCCACATTAGCACGGCGGTTGCGCGGGTATCATCAGTCTTGGTCTTGAGACTTTAAAATCCAAATGCTGGACTCCTGAAAAGTAGAAATAAAACATAATGAAAAATTTCAAAAATGTTAGAAAGAGAAGGAGTAGAGTGAACAATTCTGCTATGAAAAATTGGAGCTCTCGCCGTTGACTGGCACCATTGGTATGCGCCACGCATTCAGTTTCCGTTTAGAGTCGCAGTGCTCTCTCTGAATGCCCATACAACGACCTTTAGGGCTAAAGGACATACAATTTAGTGATTTTATCCTCCCGGACTGGCTTACCGGCTCTGTGATGGATAGAAGGCATGATTGGCCTGGAGGATCAGGGCCTACCTAATAAATAAACGTGCGGGTATTTTGATCATATCATTTCATGAAGCGGAAAAGAGCGCTATTCGGCTCGGGCATGAAGCAAAAGAGGGCGCCTTGCGACTTCGGGGGTAAGGAGGGGGGAAGGGGTGAGGGGTGGAAGGGAGGGGGCATTTTGCATTTCCGCTAGTTTCTTCACCTACCTGCCAAACCGCTCGTCTCACCTTGATGAGACCTGCAGGCTCTTGTCGTGCGTCTATTTAACCCATGCCATCGCGTAGCTTTACAAGAAT